GTTAGTCTTGTGTAGTCATTAAAAGACTGCTCAAGCACAAAGAAGACACAGGTGTTGCTCAAGTTCTTTAGGCATCTCATAGCTGTCACGGTTTCTTAGATTTCAGTTTTTCAAACATTTGTTTATTGGTAGCTTTACTTTTTGGGGGCGGGGCGGGGGGGGGGCGACCGAGGAGGTATTTTGTGGACTATGCTGCTTGGGATTTGCCTGTCCCTTCCTTATCTGACTGCAGACATGGGTTTTAGGGGAAGATCAAGGGTTCTGCTACCCCCTTTGTCACATGGTATCAAGGTTGTATGTTGTCAAATGGCCCATCACTGATCTAAATTGGCTGAGGTAGTCTGCCAGCTTTCTACACTAAACTCCCTCTTCTCCTTTCTGTTCCTGTGCCTGAAGGTAAGGATTGCTCACAATGCATGAAGGGGCAGTGTCAGTGAATTCTAGATTCCATGCAGGGACTTTGTACGAGTGTATAATTTAGTATTCTAATTTTGTTGCTCAAACTATTCATCTTTGACCCTTCAGCTTGTTTAGTAAACTATTCCTCTGATGTCCTTTTGTGATTGTTTCATTGATCACTTACTCTCTGGCACTAGATATTTAGATTTCTTCCCCACCCTCCCCACTCGGGAACTGCTCTGCGTCACTTCAAAGTTTCCTGAGTGCCAGGATTCTAGGCATGTGCCACCACATCTAGCTTCCACGCTTGTCTTGCAGGTTATCCAGTTCTCTTAGAATTAACTGTTTCAGCCGGGCGGTGGTGGCGCACGCCTTTAATCCCAGCACTTGGGAGGCAGAGCCAGGTGGGTCTCTGTGAGTTCGAGGCCAGCCTGGTCTACAAAGCGAGTTCCAGGAAAGGCGCAAAGCTACACAGAGAAACCCTGTCTGAAAAAAACAAAAAAACAAACAAAAAAAAAGAATTAGCTGTTTCAAAGAGTGTTCTTTCCTTTTATGAGAAACTAAGAACTTATATTTGGTCCATTGATGGTTAGAGTAATGTAGTGTCTTTCATTTCTTTGGGCCTTCTGGTTGACAGCAAGGCAGTATGTATGCATTCCAACTGGTGTATATATGCAAATACATGCAAACATTTTTATGTAACTGTATTAAGCTAAACATTCATACAGATGTCTCTAATTCTGTTTGCATTGCCATATAAATTCTTCCAGCCTCTATTTGCTTATCTGTAAATTTTTATTCCAACAGAAAAACTGGCTCCCATCTACCATCTACTTAATTGTTCAGTTACTATTGACATACCTTGCCATATCAGAATCATTGACCCATCTGCCATGGGAAACAGCTCTCAAAGCTAGTGTGGTACTTTGTTTTGGTTTGGTTTTTATTTTTGTTGTTTTTTGAGACAGGGTATTTATTTATTTATTTAGGTTTTTCGAGACAGGGTTTCTCTGTGTAGCTTTGCGCCTTTCCTGGAACTCACTTGGTAGCCCAGGCTGGCCTCGAACTCAGAGATCCACCTGCCTCTGCCTCCCGAGTGCTGGGATTACAGGCGTGCACCACCACCGCCCGGTGAGATGTGCAGTCCTGGATGTTCTAGAACTCACTCTGTAGACCAGGCTGGCCTCAAACTCACACAGATCTGCCTGCCTTTGCCTTCCAAGTGATTGGATTAAAGGTGTGTGTCACCACACCCAGCTCACACAGAGTTGATTTTTATGGTCCAGCCTCTTGTTCTGCCCCTTTCAGAATGTTAGTAATTGGGATTCTGCAGCAGTTTGGCCTCTTTTGCTTAGTTAGCAACACACTGTAGATTCACCTGTCATCATCTTATTTGAGCACTTCTCTCAGTGATTAAACAAGATTGCCTAGTGTGGATGAACTAGTTTATTTTCCATTCACCTGTTGGAAGTATATTTTGATTGCCTTTAGAATTTTGGGTACAGGTCATTGACTCATTCCAGGCCTCTAAACTGCTGAGCATGCATGGTCTTTACCGCTGAACTGTATATACTGTACCCCTGCTTTTGCTTAGATTCTAAATGGGTTCTCTTTTATGCTGAGGTTTCTTTCTTTGTATGTTTAAATCAAGTCCATCAGATGTGTGTTTTGTAAATATTTTCTCCCAGGTTGTAATTGTCCTTTACTATCTTACGTTTTTAAAAGAGCAGAAGTGGTTTTTTTTTTTAAACCCATAACATACACCAAAGTATTCTTTAAAGATTTATTTCTACTTTTTATTATGTGTATGTGTCTGTAGGAGGTTATGTGCACATGAGTGCAGATGTCTGTAAAGGCTAGAATTGTTGGATTCCATGGAACTTGGAGTTATAGATAGGTGTAATCCTCTTGACATGCTGGGAACTGAACTTGGGTCCTCTGGAAGAGCAGGAAGCACTTGAAAGTGCTGAGCCATCGCTCCCTCTCTTAAAGTCCTAAATCTACACAGATGTGTATTATAGTTTATAAGGAATTTGTAGTTCAGCATTAGAACAAAGTGGTTTACATTTATTTTAGAAACTTAATTGCTCAATAGAGTAGATTGGGCCCATTTCCTTTTTCTTTTTTGTTTTATACTTGCCTGCAAATTAAAGATCTTCATTGTAAAGAAGAGAAAAAATAAGTTCAGCCTTTCTCTGTTCTTTCCTCCCTCCCCTCTCGTTCCTTTTTCTTGTTTAAAAGAGTTTGGTTTTTTGTTTTGTTTTGTTTTTCCCTTTTCTGGAGCTGAGGACTGAACCCAGGGCCTTGTGCTTGCTAGGCAAGCGCTCTACCACTGAGCTAAATCTCCAACCCAAATATAGTTTAAAAAAGCACTCGGGAGGCAGAGGCAGGCGGATCTCTGTGAGTTCGAGGCCAGCCTGGGCTACCAAGTGAGTTCCAGGAAAGGCGCAAATCTACACAGAGAAACCCTGTCTCGAAAAACCAAAAAGAAAAAAGTTTGTGGGGGCTGGGGATTTAGCTCAGTTGGCAAGCGCAAGGCCCTGGGTTCGGTCTTCAGCTCCAGGGGGGGAAAAAGTTTGTGGGGCTAGCAAGATGGCTCACTGGTTAAGAGCATTTGTTGCTCTTATAGAGGACCTGGGTTTATTTCTCAACACTCACATGGTGGTTCACAATCATCCATAACTCCAATTCCACAGAATCTGACCTTTGCAGGCAAAACATTCATACAGATAAATCTAAAAATTTATTTATTTTGTTCTTGTATGCTTGTGAGTGTCACAGCATATCTGTAGAGGTTAGGGGACAACTTTAGGGAATCAGTTTTTTAGTTTCACCATGTGAGTGAGGGGGTTTGGGAAAATACTATGCAGAGCAGCCTGAGAGAAAGAGCTGATTGCTAGCCAGAGATTGTGCAGGTGTTTGCAGATGTAGACTTCCATGACAGGGTTTTGGGGTAAGGAATCTTACCTGGGTGTAGGGTGGCCTCAGAGAGGAATAATTGAAGCCATGATGAGGCAGGATGTCAGTAAGTATTCTGTTGGTAATGGAGTCTGAAAGATCAGGGTTGACTTGGTGACCATGTGGGAAAGAGAAAATTGTACCCTGTCAAAGGCATGTTTATGCTTGTACATCATTCACTAGTTCCTCCAGTCTCTTGGCTCTGCTTTCTCAGGCCCCATCTACTCCCAGCTCACTTTGTGTGCTCTTAATAGCTCGCTCAGCTTTTATTCCAGTAGAACTGTGATCCTTAAAAAAAAAGGCCTACCTACCACCCATGATGGTCTAGTTTAAACCAGAGACCTAAGTGCTTAGGAGATGAGAGATCGAAGTCGCTTAGTGTTTTGTTGTGGAATCTTAGAACACTAATTTTAAAATGTGTCTGCACTCGAGAACTGAACAGCAGCAAGAGCAATGTTTACAGTAAGTCTTTGAGTGTGAACTGAATTATTTATTGCCTCTGTCGTTTCATTTTATTTTATTTATTTATTTTTATTTTTTTGGCAGGGGGGGGTTCGAGACAGGGTTTCTCTGTAGCTTTGGAGCCTGTCCTGGACTAGCTCTGTAGACCAGGCTGGCCTCGAACTCACAGAGATCCACCTGCCTCTGTCTCCTGAGTGCTGGGATTACAGGCGTGCACCATCACCACTAGGCTCGTTTTAATGTTTTAATCAGTAACTGTAAATTAGATGTGAAAGATATTTTGAATGTTATGAAATGGATTAGGAGTTAAGGAGATGGCTTGTGGGTAAAGGTGCTTGCCACCAAGCCTGGTGACCTAAGTCAGATCCTTAGACTCCAATGGTAGAAAGAAACACTCCTGAAATAGGGCACATTGTAAATAAATGTAATAAACTGGTTAGTTGAATACCCTTGGTATTGTTTGACATCGTGTGTGTGAGAGAAAGAGACAGGGTTTCACGAGGTTTAAGGTGGCCTTGAAGTTAGGGTTTTCCTGCCTGAGCCAACTGAATGTTGGTACAGGTATGTACCAGAACACCCAGTTTATATTGGTATAGTTAGATCTGCTTGAGTGTTGCTTTTAACTAACTGATTTTAGAAAAGCCCTTTCTCCCAGGGTTCACCACCCCCACCTCCCCACCCCGCTCCTTAGCCCCCACTTTTTTTCTTGGTTTTTCGAGACAGGATCTCTGTGTAACTGCTCTGGCTGTCCTGGAACTTACTTTGTAGACCGCGATGTCCTCAAACTCAGAGAGATCTGCTTGCCTCTGCCTCCCAAGCACTGGAATTAAAGGTGTGCACCACCACACCCAGCTCATTTTTCCTTTTTTATAGGTTGAAATACAGTATTTCTTTCAGTTCCTTAATTTTTTCTTTTTCAAGATTTATTATGTATCGTGTATTTTCTGCCTGTATGTATACCTACAGGCCAGAAGAGGGCACCAGATCTCATTACAGATGGTTGTGAGCCACCATGTGGTTGCTGGGAATTGAACTCAGAACCTCTGGAAGAACAACCTGTGCTCCTAACCTCTGAGCCATCTCCCCAGCTCTAGTTCTTTGATTTTAAGCAAGGAGCAGGTGAAGGTTTTATGGGATTTAAAATGGAAGACAACACATCTTGCATTCTATTCTTTTTGCAGGTAGATCATGGAAGGAAAGTGGTTACTGTGTTGGCTACTGGTCCTTGGCACTGTAGCTGTTCAGGCTCATGAAGGACACGATGATGACATGATTGATATTGAAGATGATCTTGATGATGTTATTGAAGAGGTAGAAGATTCAAAATCGAAATCAGATACCAGCACTCCTTCATCTCCAAAGGTTTGAAGTAGATCTTTGTTGTTGTTGTTGTTTTTTTGAGTAGTGAGACAGTGTTTCTCTGTAGCCCTGGCTGTCCTGGTAGTCCAGCCTGGCAAAGGAACTCAAGAGATCCACCTGTTCTGCCTCATGAGTGGTGGGATTAAAGGGCTGGGCCACCATGCCCCACTTGATGTAGATACTTTTAGCTCTTGGTTTAAAAATCAAAAAGTATGGAGCCAGAGTCTAGGAATATATAGTTCACTGGTAGAGTGCTTGCCTAGTATATGTAAGGCTCTGTATATAACCCCCAGCAAACCCCCTCCCAAAAAAGATTGTTTTCAAAGGCAAAGCAAACTTTTTAAAAAGATATTTGCTAAGCCTTCTAGCAGCTTTTTTTTTTTTTTTTTTTTTTTAGTAAATTTATTTTACAACATCATTCAGTTCAACATAATAGCCACAGATTCCCCTGTTCTCCCACTCTCGCCCCCCCTCCCCCTCCCCCACCCCACCCCCCATTCCCACCTCCTCCAGATCAAGGTCTCCCCCGAGGACCGGGATCGACCTGGTAGACTCAGTCCAGCCAGGTCCAGTCCCCCCCTCCCAGACCGAGCCAAGCGTCCCTGCATAGGTCCCAGGATTCAAACAGCCAACTCATGCAACGAGCCCAGGACAGCTTTTGGTTTTATATGGATTGAATTCAGCTGTGACAATTGAAATTACACCAAGAGAGTAAATTCTAAGGAATGTTACAAAGTGCCCTTCCCCTCCCAACACCACCCAGTCTTCTTATAGCTCTGGATGGCCTGGGATTTGTGATCTTCCTGAAGGACTGGGGCTGGGCCATTGCTGCCCGGCTTAAAATTTTACTTCTTAATTACATTTTCATGTTTAACACAGGTCACCTACAAAGCTCCAGTTCCAACAGGGGAAGTTTATTTTGCTGACTCCTTTGACAGAGGATCTCTGTCAGGGTAAGTGTTTTCATGGGGGTAAAAGTTTGAAAGGTGAATGTCTTGTAAATAAGAAAATACTGGGAAAGTTCCTGCTCCTTTTTGAAGCAGTATTGGGGTTGAACCTAGTGTCACATGTGGGAGGTAAGTACTCTGCTGAGAGCTACAGCTTTAGAAAGTGGGCCCCTGGGAATCCTGCTGAATAGAGGGAGGAAGGATTGTAGGAGCCAGAGGGATCAGGGACATCACAAGAAAACCCACAGAATCAAGTAACCTGGGTTCATAGGAGGGAAACTGGTCGCGAGATATCTATCTATCTATCTATCTATCTATCTATCTATATATATATAGAGAGAGCGTGAACCAGACTGGCCTTGAACTCACGGAGATCTTCCTCCCTCTGTCTTCCAAGTGCTGGGATTAAAGTTGTGTGCTAACACCACACAGCTGGGGTATAAACTTTTGAATGAAAGAATGAAATGGAAGGAAGGAAGGAAGGAAGGAAGGAAGAAAGGAAGGAAGGAGGCCCCTGGGATTTTGTTTTAACAGGCATGTGCAGTGGTACAGCTCCAGTGTTGCACATGAACATTGTCTTGGAACTTTGCCTCTTGTTGCTTTCATTCTTGTTCTCCTCTACCCTATATTTCTTTATTTGGGAATTTTTTGTTTTCTCTTGAGCTTATTAAGTAGGCTAGATGGACTAGGGAAAAGATGCTACTCGAGGCAGCATTTCCTGTCACATGAATTTTAACTCGGGTTTGTCTTAATTACAGGTGGATTTTATCTAAAGCCAAAAAAGATGACACTGATGATGAAATTGCCAAATATGATGGTGAGAATATGCTCTAGATATAGTATGATATCAAAGAGGCATCTTGTTTCCATGGCGTCTCTTTTAAAACATAACATGCTTTTTAATTTTTAGAATTTCATATGTGTATATAATGTATTGATCTCTCTCTCTCTCTCTCTCTCTCTCTCTCTGTCTCTGTCACACACACACACACACACACACACACACACACACACACACACACACACACACACCCCTCCCCTGACGCCTCCCTAGTCTATTTCTCTTCGTTTCTCCCAGTTTAAAGCCCACTGATTCCAGTTGCTCACACTGGGGTTAACCTCTAGGTCCATGGCCTTAAGACTAAGTCAAAAGATGTTTGATGCTAAAGTGATGATTCAATCAGGAGCATGTGTTGCTTTTCCCAAGCCAAGTTTGGTTCTCAACACCCATGTCAGTGGCTTACAACCACCTGTAACTCAGGCTCTAGGGATTAGAAACCTTCTTCTGGCCTCCATGTGTAGCTAGAGTTTTCCTGCCTTGCCCACAGTCAGGACAAATCTTTGTCACCTGCCAGTTCCACAGCCGCTCAGACCCAACCAAGTAAACACAGAGACTTATATTGCTTACAAACTGTATGGCCGTGGCAGGCTTCTTGCTAACTGTTCTTATATCTTAATCCATTTCCATAAATCTCTACCTTGCCACGTGGCTTGTGCCTTGTGGCTTACCCGTGTCTTCACATGCGGCTTGTCATGGCGGCGGCTGGCAGTGTCTCTCCACCTCACCCTTCTGCTTCCCAGAATTCTCCTCTCTCCTTGTTCCACCTACTTTCTGCCTGGCCACTGGCCAATCAGTGTTTTATTTATTCACCAATCAGAGCAATTTGACATACAGACCATCCCACAGCATCCATGGGTATTCACATACACAAACACAATCACAAACAGAAATAAAAACTATTTTGTTTTCCTTTTAAAATTTTTTATCTTTGAAATTAAAATACAATTACATTGTTTTCCCTCTTTCCTTTCCTCCCTCCAGTCCTTCCCATGCACCCCATGCTCTCTTTCTACTTCATGGCCTCTATTTTTTTATTATATACCTTTTCCCCTAAGTATACGAATACAACTTGCTCACTTTGTATAGAAAGTTGTTGGTAACCAATTTGGGGCTCTTCCAAGGGAAGACTAATTCTTCTCCCACTCCTGTCCTGGAACTTCCTCTGTAAATCAGGCTGTCCTAAAACTCAGGGATCTTCCTGCCTCTGCCTCCAAAGTGCTAGGATTAAAGGCTTTTGCCACCTTGCTTGGCTGAAAAATAAATAGTGTAAAAAGATATTTTCAGATTTTCCCCCCTTAGGAATTATACCATATTTGTATATGGCTTTAGATGTAATAGAAATAGACCTATTTAATAACCATGTTAGAAATGGAAGTTCCAAGCTGGTTGGTGGTGGCACACGCCTTTAAATCTAGCACTGGGGAGGCCGAGGCAGGCGGATTTCTGTGAGTTCAAGGCCAGACTGGTCTACAGAGTGAGTTCTAGGATAGCCAAGGCTATACAGAGAAACCTGTGTCGGGAAAAAAAGGAAGTTCCTCTTTAGGTGTAATGAATATAAAGTTATATACCTACAGATATTTCCAAACCATGTTCTACCCTTTAACAGATAGACACGTACTCTACAGTACCTCATCTTACAGGTAAATGTAATGGTAAATAAACATTGATCATTGTGATACTTATACATCCTGGAATTTAGTTTATTACCATTCAAAAGACCTTCATTGGTACGGCTAACAGTGGAGAGCTTTTTTGTATTGTCTTGTAGGAAAGTGGGAGGTGGATGAGATGAAGGACACGAAGCTTCCAGGTGATAAAGGACTTATACTGATGTCTCGGGCCAAGCATCATGCCATCGCTGCTAAACTGAACAAGCCTTTCACATTTGACACCAAGCCTCTCATTGTTCAGTAAGTTCAGTGCCTTCTTGATAGTTTGTAGAAAAGGTAATCTCGATACTTAACATGCAACAAAAAACCCATGAGATGTTGACAGTGGGAATTGTGTGAATTTGAACACGTTGAGTGGTTTTTTTTTTTTTTTTTTTAACTTCTTAGCAAATTGCTTCAAAACATTCTGGTTGTTTACCCTCTTGATAGCAAACAAATGTCTGAATTTTGCATTAAGGATTGATTTTGGTTTTGTTTTTTTGTTGATTTTTGCGGTTGAGTGGCCCCATGGAAGCAGTAGAGGATGTAACCCTTTGTGTGGAACTAATCATAGGACCTGTGATGAAATGTGACCAAACTGGGGAGAAATGAACTGGGAAGTGTGATCTTTCAAAGTGCCATAGGAATTTTTTATTTTTATTTTATTTTATTTTTTGCTTTTTCTCTCTGAACCTAGGTATGAGGTTAATTTTCAGAACGGAATAGAGTGTGGTGGAGCCTATGTGAAGCTGCTTTCCAAGACCTCAGAACTCAACTTGGTAGGTAGTCTGTTTATGTACAATTTGTTTTAAAGATCTTAAGAGTATGGAGTGTAGCTCAGTGGTAGAGTACATGCCTACCAATTCACAGGGCCCTGGGTTCAATCCCCATCCTTTAAAAAGAGAAAAGTTTTCAAGACTTATGAAAATAAAGGCTGTTCTGCTGTCAAACAACGGAGGCTTGACACTGATGTGCTTGTGACTTGATAAGGTGACTGTTGAAGCTTTAGCTGTATGAGGGCACCAGGTCTCATTACAGATGACTGTGAGCCACCATGTGGGGGCTGGGAATTGAACTCAGGTCCTCTGGAAGAGCAGTCGGTGCTCTTAACCTCTGAGCCACCTCTCCTGCCCCACTTTAGCTGTATTTTATCTCTGGTTTCTTAACTGGAATTTTAGGGGTTTTTGTTTTGTGGTTTTATTTATTTTTTGACACAGAATCTGTGTCAGGCCTGGAACTTGCTGTGTAGACAAGGCAGGCCTTGAACTCCAAGAGATCCACCTGCCTCTTCCTCACAAGGGCAGGGATTAAAGGTGTGTACTGCCAATTTTCTGTTTTCTCAAGTTTATTTCTTGTTTTTGAAAGAAGCTTATATGCATAAAACATTGTTTTCTTAAGCATTTTAATATTTCTGGTGAGTGCTAGTTATGTTTCATTGGTGTCTGAACAAGCACTATAAAGACATGAGATTTTCTTTAAAAGAAATAGGCTAATTTGTATTGAGTTTTTTAAATGATTATTTTATTTTATTTGCATTGGTGTTTGCTTGCATATATGTCTGTTTGAAGGTGTCAAATCACTTTGAGCTGGATTACAGACAGTTGTGAGCTGCTATGTAGGTGCTGGGAATTGAACCTAGGTCCTCTGGAAGAGCAGCAAGTGCTCTTAACTGCTGAGCCTTCTTTCCAACCCCTTGTATGGAGTTTTTTGAGGAAGTATTATATACTTTTCCAAGTTTGCTTTTTGAATTCTTTGACTAGAGTTAATTAAAGCACTTCACCTTTGTCTCTTAAGGATCAGTTCCACGACAAGACCCCATATACTATTATGTTTGGTCCAGATAAATGTGGAGAGGACTACAAACTGCACTTCATCTTTCGCCACAAAAACCCCAAGACAGGTGTATATGAAGAAAAACACGCTAAGAGGCCAGATGCAGATCTGAAGACCTATTTCACTGACAAGAAAACGCATCTTTACACATTAAGTAAGAAAACCCAGCTGCTTGGGGGTGTAAGACATTGCATACTTATCATCTGGTTAATGTTAAGTTTGCAGACTTGAATACTTATGCTTACCAGTAAATGCCTTTTCTTTATAATCTTTGGAAAGACCCTATGTACTATCGTGCAATGAAAATGGATAACAGACTATGCTCCAACCTCACCAGGAAACTAACAACTAAAATGCTTATGGGCTCAAAGTGGAATTTGATGGAGAGGAGAAACTGTATGGTGACTGAGAAGGTCTCAATGCCATGTGTGTAAACTAACAGCTTCCATGGTCACAGGTTTACTGCAGAAAGAAAACATGTGCTAATAACAGGAACGTGAAAGACTATTCTTACCGAATTCTCCACAGGTGCCCCTGCCCTGAAGACATTTCTACCAGGGTCCAGAACAGAAGCTACAAGCGGCTAGGATATGAATCTAAGCACAAAGAGTTCTTTAGTCCATTCACTTTATTCTTCTCAGTCATTTTATCTGCACAGTTTCTTTTCTGTTCTCATACTTAGCTCCTCTCAGTTCCTTCTGCTGTTCTCTCATATCTGTCTAGTTCTTTCCGTCTTCCTTCTCATCTTTTTTCCCCTAAGTACACATGTGTGCGCGCGCGCACACACACACACACACACATTTCCATTCATTAACAACGTGTTAGTAAAAACTGCAAAGTAAACTCTCAGGGACAAGTATTCTGATAAGAGTCACACTTGGCAAAGACTTGGTCAGCTTAATTGGTGACTGACAACAGCTATAGGTTGTAAAAAAGTTCTGGCTATCTCTTAAAAGGATAGCTACAAGGGTTACAAGGAAAGAAATGAAATCAATGAGAGATTTAAGGAAAAGGCAAAGAATATGTGTACTGTTTTATGTGACTAATAATATTCAAACATGGTTAATCAGTTAACAGCCTTTTTCTGTTAATCACCTGAATCTCAGGACCTATACATAATTAGTCTGCTGAGCCTAAAATCTTGCATTAAAAACTGGTGTAAAAAAGCCGGGAGGTGGTGGCAGCGGCGCACGCCTTTAACCCCAGCACTCAGGAGGCAGAGCCAGGTGGATCTCTGAGTTCAAGGCCAGCCTGGTCTACAGAGCAAGATCGAGGACAGGCACCAAAAACTACACAGAGAAACCCTGTCTCGAAAAACAAAACAAAACAAAACAAAAAGGCCTGGTGTAAAAATAAATACAAAGTGTTCATTGTTTTCTGAATCAGTGGGAGGAGGTGTCAGTGGAGGAAGCTTAGGGCGACATAGGTGCTACTGATCTCTTGAAGAACTGAGATACACCAAGGACAGACACCTGCGCTATCACTTCTGGTTCACTATAATTCTTCTGAGGTTTTGATCCACAAGGCCAGGCACCTGCACCTCTGCTCTATGAAAGTTCGAGGACACTTAGTCCGGCCAACCCTGCCTTGTCAGTGATGAGTGTCCAGTCCACATGGAACAATAGCCTAGAATGAAGTGCATTTTTAGTATGTTTCTAATCATACAAATTGTACAGTTAAATAAGAAATCATCTTCTAGACTATCCACAATTGTGTATGCCCATAAAACTGAGATGCAATCATGAGATTACATGTACAGCTAACATGGAAATGCACAGTAAATGGGGAGAATCATAGCTGTTATTGCACAAGAAGTTTGCAATAGGAAACTGCCAATTCATTCAAAAGGCAGTATTTCCATAACGCCTTGCATGATGTTTCCTCCTTGTTAAATAAAAAATTGTAATGAAATATTATTTTTTCATTATTGAATAGCTGTTGGTTAGCTAGTTCCTTTTTCATATGTGGTGTGTTGCATTTATCATTTGAATTACAAAGTTGTAGAGCAGATTGTCTTCTGTTCCTTTATATAGTAATAGGAGTTGAAGTTTGTTTTAATGCCATTTTCACAATCTGAGAAAAAAATTGTTTTTGTTTTTCAAGATAGGGTTTCCCTGTATAGCCCTGGCTGTCCAGAAATTCAGAGATCCTCCTACCTCTGCCTGCTGAGTACTGGGATTAAAGGCTTGTACCACCACACCTAGCAATCTGAGAAATTTTTAAAAGTACATCTGTGGAGCAGGGCACGTGGTGCAGTTGTTGGATGTTTATCTAATGTGTTTAAGGCTCCAAAACTCTCAAATAAAACTTTAGTCCTTCCCTGGCTGCTGGACCGTGTCACAACTATCTGTGTCAGTTCATTATATTAGTTTATATAGGTTTTTAGTGTTTCCCTGGGTTTATAAGTGAAGTTTTTTTTTTATTATTATTTCTGCGTGGGGGGTGTTGTGCCTGCATATGTATCTGTTCACCACTTGCATGTCTGGTGCTGACATTACAGAAGAGTGTCTTGGTCCCCTGAAGCTGGAGTTAAAGACAGTTGTAAGCCACCATGTAGGTGCTGAGAATTGAACTGGCTCCTCTGGAAGAGCAGCTACTGCGCTTATTTAACCACTGAGTCATTTCTCCAGCCCCTATCAGTGAAGACCTTTGTGGTTTGTAGATGATTGTTGTGTGGAGATCAGAGGACAACTTTGTGAAGATGTTTCCTTTCCTACCCGATTGTGGGTTATTGGATCTAACTCAGAACATTGGGATTGTGTGGCAAGTGCCTTTATATGCTGCTGTGCATTTCACCATCCCATTCATTCATTCATTCATTCATTCATTCATTTTTGTGGTTGTTTTGAGACAGGTCTTAACTGTGTAGCTCTGGCTGTCTGGGAACTCATTATGTAGCCAGGCTGGCCTCAAACTCACAGAGATCCAACTGTCTCTGCCTCCCAAGATCTGAGATTGAAGGCATGTGCCATTATACCTGGGTGTTTGTTGCTTAGGCTGGCTCAGATTCTATGTGTAGCTGAGAATTATTTTGATGGCCCTGCCTCTATCACCCAGATGCTAAGATCACAGGAGTGTGCTACCATGCCCAGCAAGTTTTAATTGTTATTTATGTGATGGGTGTTTTTTCTCCATGCATGTCTATACACCATATGTGTGCTTGGTGCCGATAGCAGCCAGAAAAGGTTGTCATATCCTTTGCTGCTGAAGTTACAGAAGGTGTAAGCAGCCATGTAGATGTTGGGAATTGAACCCTAATCCGATGGAAAAGCAGTGAGAGCTTTCTTAACCACTGAGCTATTAATCCAGCTCCTTTAACTATTTTAATAGGCAAATAATAGCTATTTAATAGCTCCAGGGTAAGAGTGGTGTTTAGTGTGCACAAGACCCTAGGGTTAATCTCCAGATTGGAGGGGGAAAAAAACTTACTAAAATTTATCATTTGTAATTTCTAGGAACCTAAGGAAATGGCACTGGGGTCCTCAAGCTCTTCAGAACTAGGCTTTGTTGACTGGCATTCTCACCCCATTGCCCTGAGCTCTTTGTTCCATGACTACTCACTGGTTCTTTCTCTAGAACACATGATCTGTTGTGTTGGATTGATGGGAATGTTGGGATGAATGGTTAAGTCAGTATTTTTAATTGCTTTTAACTTCTTTTCAGTCTTGAACCCAGACAATAGTTTTGAAATATTAGTTGACCAGTCTGTTGTGAACAGTGGAAATCTGCTCAATGACATGACTCCTGCTGTAAACCCTTCACGTGAAATTGAGGACCCAGAAGACCGGAAGCCTGAGGATTGGGATGAAAGACCCAAAATACCAGATCCAGATGCTGTCAAACCAGATGACTGGTAAATCTTGGAGCTCCACCATTGAGTATTAGCAAATATTTTGTGTATTCCACACAGCTTGAACACCTAAATGGTGACTGAATGAGATCTGATTATTTAAATAATGTGTAATCCGAACATTCAGGAGGCTAAGGCAGAAAGATTGTGAGTGTGGAACCAGTTTGGGCTACATAGTAAGACCTTGCAAGAAAAGAAGGGGAGACTTATGTAATCTATTTTACAGAAGAAAAGTACCAATTACTGTGGCTGGAAAGAACCCAGTAGTGATATTATAAATTATCCCTCCCCATTTTATAAACTACAGGATGCTAAAACTGTTGTGGTTTATTTGTACTGACAGAGTTGGCTTGTGGTAATCTCTTGGTCCAGTCATTCTAGGGCTCCTTTACTACTGGTTTTTACTGAGTTACAGTGCTAGGTATTGAACCCCAGGGCCTCCAGCACACTAAACATGTGTTGTGTTACTAAGGAGTGATCTACTACCATCCACATTTAAAGCTAGCATTCTGAAATTCTTAATTGATATTTTTTTAACTTATTTTTATGTACATTGATGTTTTGCTTGTATGCATGTCTGTGAGGGTGCCTTGTCCCTTAGAACTGGAGCTGTAGACAGTTGTGAGCTGCCATGTGGGTACTGAGAATTGAACCTGGGTCCTTTGGAAGAAAAACCAATGCTTTTAACTGCTGAGCCATCTCTCCAGCCCTTATGTTTTTGTTGTTGTTTTTTTAATTAGAAAATATTTCTTGAAGTTTATTTTTGAGACAATCTCACTATATAGCCCTAGCTGACCTGGAACCTACTGTATAGACCAGGATGGCCTCAAACTAGCAGAGATCTATCTGCCTCCCAAGTACTAGGATTATAGGTGTGCAACAACCACACCCAGCTAACTTTAAATTTGTGTTTGTATGTTGAGCATCTTTCCCTCTGCTTCTTGATTATTCCTGTAGTTCCATTAGAGAAATGTCTACTTGATCTTTGGCTGCTGTTTTCAGTTGAGCAGGCCTAGATAAATGATTTACAAATGATTTCTAGGATGAATTAATTGAGTTTTCTAAGAGGCTACATTGATTGATTCTCTGGCCACTATTGTTATAGCTGGTGTTTTCTGTTTAAGGGATGAAGATGCCCCTGCTAAGATTCCAAATGAAGAGGCCACAAAGCCTGAAGGCTGGTTAGATGATGAGCCTGAGTATATCCCAGACCCTGATGCGGACAAGCCTGAGGATTGGTGAGAATTTGAGTTTGCTTTTAGAATTACCCATTGTTTTGTTTTTAAATTAAAAGCAATAGATCTGGGCATGGTGGTGCAAACCTTTGATCACAAAGAAGTCAGGCGTGTTGCTGCACACCTTTAATCTCACCACTCAGAGCCAAGTAGATTCTAAGTTCAAGGCCAGCCTGGTCTACAAAGAATTCCTGGACACAGAAAAATCCTATCAAAAATAAAAAAAAAATGCCCAAGTTTAAGTGGAGAGCTCTATAAATTTCATTGTGTAAAAACAAAATTGATCTTTTATGAAAGATCATTGCTGACAGGGATGAGAAATGAGATACTGTTCTGTAGTTTGCTGCTGATACAGCTTCAGCAGCATCTTGAGCACAGGGCTGGCTGTTCAATTGTAATTTGGCTGTACCTCCACAGGGATGAGGATATGGATGGAGAATGGGAGGCTCCTCAGATTGCCAACCCTAAATGTGAGTCAGCCCCTGGGTGTGGAGTCTGGCAGCGACCTATGATTGACAACCCCAAGTATAAGGGCAAATGGAAGCCTCCCATGATTGACAATCCTAACTACCAGGTTTGTGCCTCCTGATGGTTTACTTGTTTTCATTAATCTGTTTACTGTTAATGGTTTACTATCTTCATTATCTGGGTAGAAGTTTGATAAATAATGTGGTAGTAGGTTTGATGACTGTATTGAAGCTGTTCGATCAAGAAGAGAAAGTAAACTTAAGAGATAGTTTTATAATAAGCTAAACATAAAGCCTAAAAAAACGGGAGAAAAGTGTTCACAATTGCTATGTGACCTTTGTTTGAAACTAAAAGTAGAGCCAGAGAACCTATATACCCTCTTGTCGTCAAGTGTCAGGGTTGCTTCAGCCGCAGGATTCCAGAGTTACATTGGCCATAAGGGAACTGTGATGATAGTTGGATCTTGCCATGTCAAGTCAGCTTATTGCTTGGTCTCATTGGTTTTCTTCAACTGCCAAAAGACCGGGTGCACATGAAGTGGTAGGAATATGTATAATGAAGTTGTAAAGCCCCAGTTGTATCCTGGGAATGTATCTATTCAGATTTTTACCTTTCAGTTTCCAAGCCAAGAAAATTACGGTCATTTCCATTTAGACTTTAAGATGTAAAGTATAGGTACATCTGTATGCATATACTGTGTATGCTTCTCTGTTGTAAAATTTTTTAGTTGTACATTTAGATAAGTAAAATGAAATAAAAATTATACTTTGGTTTGCCGTTGAACTATCTGGATATGATGATACATGCCTATAATTCTAACACTTAGTTATCAGCATGAGGACCAGGAAGGTCGACTTTAGCTATAATTAGGAGAATCAGGAGTAATTTAAGGCTATCCTGGGCTATATGAAACCTTGATTAACAAAATAAAACTAAAATCACCACTGGGAAATGGCTTTACTGACTACATTCCACCAACACTTAATAAGGGTGGAGTGGACTGCTCAGAGCCAGGGGTTGGTTCCGAACAAGATCCTGGAGATTGGAAATTGAATTAGGTGGAATCCAGAAATCAGAGTATAAAAACATCATTAGCGTTTATTGTTCTGCTGTTTGTTTAAATTTGACAAAGTTAATACTTATCTCTGTTGATCATGCAAAATGAGTCTTATAGGTTTTCTTTTATTATCTGAAATGATGTTTTGAAACTTCTTTCCTACCTCTACCCCGCCCACCCCCCAAAAAACCTAGGGAGTCTGGAAACCAAGGAAAATACCAAATCCAGATTTCTTTGAAGACCTGGAACCTTTTAAGATGACTCCTTTCAGTGCTATTGGTTTGGAGCTCTGGTCCATGACTTCCGACATTTTTTTTGACAACTTTATCATTGGTAGTGACCCTAGAGTAGTTGACGATTGGGCCAATGATGGGTGGGGCCTGAAGAAAGCTGCTGATGGGGCTGCCGAGGTTAGTGATTGTTCAGTACTCTGCATTTATATCTGCTCTGGGGAAACTGATTGCTTTGTGAAAAGCAGGTTTTTTAGTGTTGAGACCTGATTCTATTAGTCTCGTATTCTGGCTTTAGAGCCTGTATGTATGTACTGTTGTGTGTATGTGTATGTGCATGTGCGTGCGTGCGTGCGTGTGCAGGTATTTACAATTTAAGTATATTTAATGCACTCAAAATGCTGAATCTTAGTTTACTCCTTGTGTGGAATTTTCAAATAACTAATGATGTGGCTGAGCTGGGATTTGAAGGGTCAGAGTCTTGCTGGGATGAAGACATTACATTCTTCATCTGTTTGTTGAGTAAGGGACCTTTTGCAGTTGTTACAAGCCACCTTCTCCTGTACCTGTGTAGGTGAAACCTCACGGTGGTGAGAGCAGAAAAGGGAGGACTTTTTCCTGTTTTTCTTATGCACATCTTAGTTTGACTCCTTTGAAAAAGAAGGCACCTAGTTGTGCCCATTTCTTGAGTAACATGGGACAATTAGAAGCCAGTTCTCTGAATTATTGTTTGGTTTTTCAGCCAGGTGTCGTGGGGCAGATGCTGGAGGCAGCTGAAGAGCGTCCATGGCTCTGGGTGGTCTACATTCTGACTGTAGCCTTGCCAGTGTTCCTTGTGATCCTCTTCTGCTGTTCTGGAAAGGTAGGAGTAAAGAGCTCTCCTGATGTCACGGAAAAATAACCAATTTACACTGTATTGACTGCGATTTTCTCTAGTAGTAGTGTTGATAAATACTTTGTCATATTTTGCATTGGCTTTTTTTTCTTTTCTTTTCCTTTTTTTAAACAAGATTCCCTGGGTTTGAGCCAGGGGAGATGATGTTTCTATCTCTGCCAGACTTTAAAAGGAGGCTGCTCTAGCACAGGTTACCTGACCGCCTTAAACAGCAATAAAAAAGTAAAATAGAAACCTTTATTTAGAATTAAAGCCAACACTTGAGTGTGACAAACATACCTTTCAGCTCAAAGTAGCGCCTCACTAATGGAGCAAGTGTTTTATTCTGCATAATCAGGCCGTGGTCAAACCTGGGAGAGGGTGCAGGGATACCGCAGGACTGGCAACTAGTCCTCTTTGCCTGGGTCCCTTCTCTAGTGTGTAGACCATGATTGCATTGACTTGTAAAACATTAGTCACCATTTCTCAGTGGGCCGTTGTGCCCAGATGACAGGATTTAGAGTCCTTTGTTTGTCATTCCACTCTATTACTAGTCGTAATATTTGGTGGCAGCTTTTAAAGAAAAAAGAACAACTTAGATACAAGATCAGCCATTTAGGAACAAATCATTTTCTCTCCTGATGTTATTTTTATTCTTATATTTTGTTATTTGGTCTTTAATTTTTTATCCATTTCTCCCTCCTTGCCTTCACTCTGTCCAAACAATACTTCTCAAAACTATGTATGCCGGTTTTACAGCCTCAACGTTTTTCTTATTGGGCCCTTGTTGCATGCTGTCTCATAACTTAGGATTTGACTTCTGTGGATGACACTTTGTCAGATTCAAAGGTCTCTTTGCAGCCTTACCCTCACCACTGTTTGAAGTATCTGTCTCAGTCAGCTTGACAACTAGGCCTGTACTTCCTGCCTGAGCCTTTGTTCTTACTGTGTATTCTATTTTGGCACCTCTCTCCCTATGCTCCCCTCTCACTTTCCCTCCCAGGGGGAAAAATGAGTAAGAATATCTTTTTCACATGTCTGCATTTCTGCCCTGTACACAACCTTGGACACACTTTGCCCACAGACATTCAGGAGTTGAGGAGTAGTATATTTGTGACAACATAAACATGGTTCTCGCACTTGTTAATATTCCAGAAACAGTCCAATGCTATGGAGTACAAGAAGACGGATGCTCCCCAGCCAGATGTGAAGGAGGAAGAAGGGAAGGAAGACGAGAAGAGCAAGGGAGATGAAGACGATGAAGGGGAAGAGAAGCTTGGTGAGTGGTACCTAGAAATCTGTCCTAAATCCTGATTAACAAAACAAGTCACAGGAAAAGATTGTTTTTAAATGATTCTCTAATTATTGTCAAGCCAGATGTGAAGTTTTGTTCAATTGTTTTATTTTCTGTCTTAGAAGAGAAACAGAAGAGTGATGCTGAAGAAGACGGTGGCACTGGCAGTCAGGATGAGGAAGAGAGAAAACCCACAGCAGAGGTGAGGAGGCTCGCTCATCAGTCCCTCAGTCATCTCAGCTCAGTGGATGTGTATTGAATGGGTTGTTAAATTAGTGTATGTGGGGCGAGGCGGGGTGGATATGTGAGTGCAGATGCTTGAAGATATCCCCAAGGCACTAGAGTTACAGGTGGTGTGGGTCATCTAAAAGAGCAGTATGTGCTCTTATCCACTGAGCCCTCTCTCTAGCACAAAGGGAATGTTGTCACAGGTTAATTAATGATCAGCATTTTATTTGAATCTCAAGTTTTTCTGTGCACAAATTTTTTATTTTGTTTATTTACATTTTTGTATTAAGTAGAAGTTGGAAAAGAAAAATATGGTTTCTGAGATGGGGAGTGTCGAGTTTCTTAACAGTCCTGTGACATTTATTTAGGTCTGTGCCCTCAAAGGTATTTCATGCATACCACTGTATTTTAAACTTTTTAGATAGGGTTTCATCTAACCCACATTGACATTGAACTCTGTGTCAGTAATAATATTTAACTGCTCGTCTTCTGCCTGGTATTACAGTTCCATGCTCCACCCTACTCTACTCTATATGCTCTTAAGGGCACCCGTATGGTGGCTCACAACTGTCTGTAACTCTAGTCCCAGGGGAATCTGATGCCCTCTTCTGGCTCCAAGGGTACCAGGCATGCACAGAGTGCACAGATACACATCCAGGCAAACACTCATAAAAATAAATGAAATCCCCCTCCCAAATTAAAATATTGGTAGGTTTGAGGAAAGTGCATGCTTTTGGAAAAGATTGAAATTAGATACCTATTATAATCCCACTACATATAACAGTATACTTTTTCTCCTGTTTTTCCCCAGTTGAGTTACTTAGTTTAAATGGTTATGGAAATTCAGCAAAATTTGGTTTTTAAATATGCTAATTATATGGTGATCTTCTCTCCTTTTCATCTAATAGGAGGATGAAATTTTGAACAGATCACCAAGAAACAGAAAGCCACGAAGAGAGTGAAACAATCTTAAGAACTTGATCTGTGATTTCCTATCCCTCCCCTTCCCCTGCAAGTGTGGTCCTAGGAGAGGGCCTGGTATACCTTAGGTGGGAACTCAGAAAACCTCAAGACGTCACCATCTACAGGTTCCAGTGAATACTAGTCTGTAATTTTAAACATCTAGCAGTAAATAATTGCAATTGTAATGTAAAGGACCCTGTTTCTGTAGAAAAGAACATTTAACATAATGGTTGTGAAATGTAACATGAAGCAACTAACTTGTGTTTTTATTTTGATGTTTTTAAAATCTTTGGGTTCCCCCTTTTCTTTCTTTCTTTCTTTTTTTTTTTCTTTTCCTTTTTTAGATAGAATTTTTGCCAGTTTAAAATCTTGGCTTAATTTAATATATTAATCTGTTTGTGCAGAAATAACACCAACATTAGGAATGCTAGGGGGAATGAATTGCAGTTTTTATAACATTTTTTTTAAGTTTGGTATTAAAACATTCATGTGTCTCTGTCCCTAAAATTGTAATCACGTTCGAGTACAGTCATTTGTGGTTATAATCTTGTTTTGTGTGCTTCCATTACTTAGTTCCTCCTAAAGATATAAGAGGAATTGGTCGGGAGCCCGAATTCATATCAAAGTTCTCTGAGTTATATTGAATAGACCCAAAAAGAACTAGAAGGAGACTTTGACTTGGTGTTGGTCAGCTCATAACGTGCAGTGTTGTGTTGTCCTTGGGACTGCTCCATTCACAGACAGCTTTGCAGAGGACAAGAGCTGGCTTACTGCGGCAGTTGACACTGTACTCTCCATAAGGAGGTGGATAGCTCGAGTCCTCTGGAGCACAGGCTTTTGAAGGAGTGTGGTGGTGCCTAAGTAGACAGTCTCATCACTTGTTCCTCTGTGTTGACTCTGCTTCCCTCACGTCTCCTCAGTCCCCAGCGCTCTCTGCTATGCATTTCTTCACAGCGCAGCTTGCCGTCCGTGCTGAAATTATAAGCTCTGCATAGTGTTGGCTTTACTGTGATTACATCTGTTTCTTATTTTAAGCAGGCCCACACCTTTCCAGGGTCCAACTACAGGATAGATTACAGACTTCGTTAGTGTCTATTTCTTTTACTCTGTGTAGACTTGAGAAAGTCTAATTCAGAGGTGGGCCAATTCAGAATTGACTGTAATTGAACATAGGCTAAAAGTGTTTATGGGAGGATTGACACATAGCATGAGTTATTTGACTTTTGTAGGATATTTAAAATCTTCATTTGCAGTTCATGTAAAAGTTGTGTCTTAAAATTCACACAATAAAGCAGTCCTGTTCAAAATTTTTTTTTATTGTGGCTTGAAAAATTTTTTAAAGTGAATTTATAGTTTTTTTTGTTTTGTTTTTCATGTGGAATGCAGATGGGTGCTAGAAGAGCCTCTCCCACATCACTATAGTGTAATATCATCACACCACATTGAAATGTATTCAGAAACAGATGTTTCAACTTCATTCTTTCTCTAGAGGCGTTACAATTGTACCGATGATACTGTTCCTTGCACTGAATATATATAAACACTCCACAGTGTTTATATTGGGGAGATACTGGGAAAGAAATATATTTGTAAAGGGTGAAGGCTGTGTTATTTGTTGTCTTTTTAAACACTGGTTCATTTCATTTCTCTTGAGGGTGGAATGCATTTTTCTTGCTGTTCAGTGCTTTATCCCCATCTGTTGTTTGTGGTCACAGTGACCATAGCTATGTAGCGGATGTTCCCAAATTGTATAGAGTGAAATAAAGAGTTAATAGCAAGAAACGAATACATGTCTGCAGGTTTCTCCTTGAAGCAAACATGGGGATGATTGCTGTTTTAGAAATCTGTTTATCTGTTTAATCATTCCACATTGACATATTTCATGCCTACTTTATTTCACCCAGGCTGTAAAATGACAGATTTATTTATATGATTGGTGGTGGTCATTGTCTTTCTGGGTCCTTCTTTCTCCCTCAAGGTGTTGAAGCTACAGCCTCCTTAAATGTCTGACACATTAATGACCAGCAGTCATCTTATAAAAAGCTTACCGGGCTGGTGTTATATAGCTCAGTAGGTAGAACTGTCAAGCATGCGCAAAGCGCCATAGGTTTGACTCCCTGGCACTGAATGAAAAAATAAAGATTCTTAAATTCTGATATTATGTGCTGGATTCCTTGTCGAATTGTTGTAAAATACCCACTCTTTCAGCTTGTGGTCTTCCATTTTCTTGTCCATAAAGTACTCTTCACTTCAGATTGTCATGTTACTAAACGGTGTTATATTAAAGCCCTGTGTTAAGTGTCTGCTTTTGACTGGACTTCATGATAACCTAGGATGCATTTTACTGTTTGAATAATGGTTTGATCTTTTCGTTGGCTACTATAGAAGAGTTTGATTCAGTCGTGTATTTAACTTCCTCTGTCCAGTAGTGGGTTAGTCATTTCTGTTGTGTAAAATGGACAGCAGCTCAGAAACAAGTTTTTTTGCATGTTTTTTGTTTTTCAGTGCTGGGATTTGAACCAGCGCGTTACCACTGAGCTACACCCTCTCCTATATAATACTTTTTAAGATGTGTGGAAACTTTTAATGTTTTTTTATTAGAAAGTAATCTTTGGGGTGTGGTAGCACATGCCTTTAATCCCAGCTCTTGGGAGGCAGAGGCAGGAAGGTCTCTGAGTTCAAGACCAGCCTGGTCTGCAAAATGAGTTTCAGGACAGCGAGAACCTGTCTTGGGGCCAGGGGATAATCTTTGCTCAGGCATATATGAGATTATTGAAAGTCGTGCCCAAGATATTTTGTGATTATTGCAATTTTAGATTGTTTCCTGAATTGAAACACTACAGTGTAAGTAGTGCTAGTTCTGAAGAATGTGCACTTTCATAATGGTGTACCCTGTAACCCCAGCACTCAGGATGCAGAAGCAGAGTATGGCCAGCAGCCTCAGCCAGACAATGCTTTTGATGCCAATCGGGTACCTGACACGTCTTAAAAACAAAGTTTCATGGCTGGGTGTGTAGTAAGTGGTAATGGCACTGTATGCATGAGGCCCTGGATTTAACCCCCTCAGCACTGTGCCCAAAAATTTAAAAAGTTGCTTGTTTAACCTGAATGTTACTGGAACATTTACCTTTGCAGCCCACTTCCTCTACCAAAAAAAACCTGAGTTCCTTTTTTCTACTGCATTTGTATAAAAACATTTGGCTGTTAGCTTTTTTTCCTTGTGATTTTTAAAATAAAACTTTCATGAACCCTAGTATGGGGTTAAGAGTAACATGTTTGAGTGGCTGGTGGTGTCTTCTAGTGTGCAGCCTCGCATCATCTCCAGCTGTCAGCTGGGTTGTCAATATCCATTTAGAATTTCTTTTTTTGGTCCTTTTTCGGCTTTTTTTCCTTCGCCCATTTGCTTGCCAGTTGTATCAGTGGAGCCCAGCGTCTTCGGGTTGGATTTTGAGTGACTCAGTTTTATATACCAATCGGTTTTAAGTGCAAATCCCTGGAGATCAAAGTAACTCCAGTTTCCACTAGTGAGGCTGAAGACTGCTTTTCCCTCCTCCAAAAACTGACAGTAACAGTGATTCCTAATAGATCCGTCAACCATAATGAGAAAACCTCTATTAGCTCAATTATGAAGCTACATGTAAGGAATTAGGTCAGAAATGGATGACCTCAAATTAGTGTGGGCAGACAGAAAAGGTAGACCGCATCGGGTGTCCTGGTTTGGCGGTTCCACCACATTCCGATTTACCCCGCGTTCCTCGCGAACCCGGAAGGGACTGCCTTCAAGGGGCGGTGTTGAGAAAACGTGGCTCCTCTTGGATAGGCTCCTGTCAGTCACAAGTCCGCTCTCCAGCACTGAGCCCGCCTCGGGGCTTCCCTTCCCTTCTTGCCCGAGTGTTCAGTTTAAATACCCGAGCAGTCCTAACGTGCTCGTCCCCACGCCCTCGGGCAGCGGGTTTCGTCTGGTTGGCCAGAGCTCCTGCCCATCAGCAGTGACGCAGGGTTCGCCGGCCCAGGCCCCGCCCTCTTCCGAAAGCCCCGAAAACAATTTTAAGATGGCGGCGGCAGCGGCGCGGAAAACAATGGGGCAGGGGTGCAGGGGACAGGCCGAGGCCTGAGGCGGGCGGCGTGCGCTGGCCTGGAGTCGGGCCGAGCGGGGCCGGAGGAAGACCCGCCGCCGCGCCCGAACCCGCTCCACCGCCCGCCGGGACATGGCGCGGCCGTGAGGCGGACCGGGGCCGCCAGAAGCGGAGGAGCCCTAAGTGCCAGCCGGCGCCGAGAGGCCCGGTCCCGGCCCGCGCCGCCCGCGGCCCATGGTGCTGCCCACCTGCCCCATGGCGGAGTTCGCGCTGCCGCGGCACAGCGCGGTCATGGAGCGCCTCCGCCGGCGCATCGAGCTGTGCCGGCGCCACCACAGCACCTGTGAGGCCCGCTACGAGGCCGTGTCTCCCGAGCGCCTGGAGCTCGAACGCCAGCACACCTTCGCCCTGCACCAGCGTTGTATCCAGGCCAAGGCCAAGCGCGCCGGCAAACACCGGCAGCCGCCCGCCGCCGTCCCGGCCCCGGCATCCGCTCCGGCCCCCGCCCCGGCCCCATCGGCCGCGCGCCTGGACGCCGCCGACGGCCCGGAGCACGGGCGCCCGGTCGCGGTGAGTAAGGCAGCTCCTGCCGCAGCAGCCCTTTCTCCCGATAACGCCTCCCCGACGCCGATCGGGCCTCGGAGAAACTTCCCCGGGCGTCCCCACTTCTGGGTCTGGGTCCTGCGAGGAGGCTAACATGGCAGGGAGCTGGGCGCTTGTCACCTTCGGGAAGTGGCACTGCCTTGTACTTTGGGGAAAAGTTACCGTGAGGACTTTGAGTAAAGTCGGTGCTGGAAAAGCAGGAGAAATTTAGCTGCTGATAGGCTTTCCTCCCAAACTTGATTGCCAACTGTTGAGAACTTCATCTTGTAATAGCCCCGCGTTGGAGTTGCCTACGACTTAGGGCGTTCTTGCACAGTAGGCCTGGCCTCGTTTAGTCTTCAAATGTTGATTGGATCCTTGCTCCGTGGAAGGTCCGGAGCTGTAGGCAGGGTTAGGGCTTTAATATGGAAATAAGTCGCCCTTCAGTTGACAATATCCTACGGCTTTCGAATGGAAAATTGAAAAGCCTTTGGAAGCTTCAGTAAACTGTATGGTCTGCTCATTGAATTGCATAAAAAGTATTTCTTTTTTAGGGAACCCTGGAATTTTGTGAACACGAGATACGATACGAGGTGCTATACCATTGACAGTTCCAATTTTAACCTGCTAAGCCCGTTTAAAACCTCTGATAATATTAATAGTTGTTGAACGGGGGAAATGACGTTAGTTGTTGGTCAGCTGTGGCCTTTGGTTTTTTTAGTAACTAATCCTGAGATTTATTGGTTAGAAGTGTTGCCTCCCTGAAACTAATTTATAAAAGGGAAACGTGTGTGTGTGTGTGTGTGTGTGTGTGTGTGTGTGTGTGTGTGTAGGGGGGATTACTAAATTCTTGGTAATTTAAAAGTAAAAATTTACAATATTTAAATTATTCACTAATTCTAATTCATGTCTTTATTGCCTTTCACTTGGTCCGTTATAATACTCTTCCCTGGGTGATTGTAAAACTCATCCCTAACTAGTGGTTAAACTTTCAGTCACTTAATACCCTTCCTCTTGAAATGTTAGAAGCCTTTCTGTTGCTGAAGGGATGAAGTTTAATCTTTGGTTGGCTTTTGGGACCAGTCTGACCTAACCTATCTTTCCATGTCCCCCACAGAATTATTGTTTTCCTTCTTTCTCACATTATCTTTGCTGCCGGACTAGAAGACAGAATGCCTGGGTTCTGACCCAGCTGGTCACGTCTTTCCGTCCCTACTTTTCTCACCTGTAAGCCAAGGGTATGTTGGGCTTCTTACAAGGTGGCTTGAAGGAATCACATGAGTATGAGGTCAGGTGTGGTGGTTCATGCCCAGGGGCAGGCAGAAAAGGAATGAGTGTGGATGTGAATGGATTTCACAAGCTGAAAGGCTGCTTGCAGGATCTTCCTCAGCACTCTTCTGAGCCCTGTCATCCTGCAGCTACAGCCCACCTTCCTTTGCAGTGAGTTTCTGAAAACCCAGCCCACAGCAGAACCTCCTCTGTCAACTCAGTTATGAAACAGACCTATGCTGTTTGTTTTCAGCACATAGTTACCTTGCAAGGTAGACTGTAAGCTTTTGGAGTCCATACATTTTTTAGGCTGTCCGTATATTTGTTGAGTGATTGATAATGAATTCGGTTGTGCTTTACCAAAATGATTTCACTGAATGAGTCGCCTTTACTAACAAATCTTTCTTGAAGGAAAGATCCCCAACTCTCCCCTAGTCCCTGCTTTGAATTGAGCCCAGGACTTTGTACTTACTAGGTGTCTTAGTTAGGGTTTCTATTGCTGTGCAAAGACACCATGACCGTGACAACTCTGATAAAGGAAAACATTTAATTAGGGCTGGCTTACAGTTGCAGAGGTTTATTAGTCCATCATCATAGCATGCAGCATGGCAGCCCACAGGCAGGCACAGTGCTGGAGAGGGAGCTGAGAGCTCTACATCTGGATCAGCAGGCAGCAGAAAGAGAGTGACACTGGGCCTGGCTTGAGTGTCTGAAATCTCAGAGCCCACACCCAATGGCACACTTCCTCCAGCAAGGCCACTCCTGCTCCAACCTAATAGTGCCAAATGAACCAAGCTATGGGGCCATTTTCACTCAAGCCACCATACTAGGTAAGTTCTTCACCCCCGAACTACACTGCTAACTCTACAGAAAGACTTTTGAGAGTGGTGGGTGGTCGTCCTAATCGAGGTAGATTATGAAAGCTCATTTAAGAGAAAGAAAGAAACAAACAAACATACCTCGGGGCTGGAGAGATGGCTCAGCGGTTAAAAGCACCGACTGCTCTTCCAGAGGACCTGGGTTTAATCCCAGCACCCACATGTCAGTTCACAACTGTCTGTAACTCCAGTTCCAGGGCTTCTGACACCAAAAGTACTTGCACATACAAACAGTTGAACACCTCCTAGAAAGAACATTAATAGTGTTTGAGTTTCTGTCAAAAACTATGGTAAAATTTTAGAATTTACATCACTTTATGTTTTTTATTTCTGAATCACTGGAGAACATTTGAGTTCCCATTCAGTGTTTTAAAAAGAGATGTTAGAACTTGAATCTGACAGGTCTTGGTGGTACATGCCTGTGCTCCCAGGACTCAGGAGCAGAGACAGGAAGACAAGTTCAAGGCCAGCCTGGTATATGTAGCTAGGCCAGCTAGG